GTCTCTTCTCGACGTTGTCCGATTTTAAGCGCTTCGTTACATCGCTGTATTTTAAGAAAACTGTAAATCAAGCGCATAAGTGCGCTCACCTGCATAAGCTGTAGATTATTTGCCGGCCTGTTTATTGTGATCAGCGAAAATTACAAGTTGCAGCGACGATAGCAGCGCCGCGCTATGCCTGTTACGCGCGCCTTTTCTGTACTTGGCCGCGTGCTCAACACTCCAAATGGAACGCTCGTAAATTCTTCTCAAACTTATTTTATGATCTTTCCGAAGAAACTCGTCTTTGGCGTTTCATTTCATTAAAGACAGCCTTAGACCAATTACAGGTCTATTGTATAAATATGCAATATCGATTTCAAAAAATCCTACCATGGGATCAATTTTGTGGAAATGCTTGTCAAACTATATTCATTCGAAAACCGTAATATCCACGTGGCTACTAGTTTTCCCTCTGCTACGAGAAAAAGAAAAAAAATAGGATTATAATTTTCTTCGTTGCTTTTTCGACGTCCGACGTGTCCCATCAATTTTTCTTCTAGGCAAATTCACGATAACATTTATAAATTCTACCACTCATGCTGAGTTTATGGTATTCGTGATCAAACAAGTAATATCTCTCACAATTTTTAGAAGAAACTCAATCCAAGCGTACAACTCTGAAAATTTATTATATTAATAAGCATCATTACTACTGGCGTAGCTACCAATCTATCAAATGCCAAATTTTTTGTAAAATCAGCAGAATCGAAAGCGAAACTGGGTAAAACAAATACAAGCGGTAAATCTACACTAATGAGTATCAATGATTTATCGAGTCTATATCCCTGTAGTAGATTTGCACGTAGAGCCCGGGCATGCAAGCTGCTGCGGCGCCTTACGTCACTGGTAGCCGCAGGCGCAGGTGCATCTGCCTACATCCAGCAAAAGGGACATAGAGCCCTAAGCCGAAGGAAGTGCGTCGAAGAAGAAGAAAAAGAGGAGGAAGAAGAAGACGAGGAAGAGGAAGAAGAAGAAGAAGAAGAAGAAGCAGCAGCAGCAGCGGTAGAAGAAGCGGAGTAAGGAGGTGCTCCGCCCCGGTAAGAGAGGGCAAAGATGGCCGCTGAGGGACGGATTGGCGGAGAGAGAGAGAGAGTATCCGTACTCGGCGCGCGCGTCACTCACTCACCCGTTCGAAAGTCGCGTCCCTCCTTCCGTTACTCCCGCTCTCGTCGCCGCCCACACTCACACACGCGCGGCGCACACGCGCGCCCCACTCGATTTCCGAGCCGATCTGCCGCTCGCTGCGAGAGGGACTCGAGCGCGCCGATTTCGAACGATGCCTCGCGCGCAGATTCTTATCTGCGAGCCCGACGATGCACTTCTTGGAATCTCTCTATCTGGCCTGGGCTTTTGTTCCACCAGCTCCACGACCATTTGCATGGCTCCGCGGCGCCTTTGTTTTTCTACCTTTTCCGAGTCCAAGCTGCATCTTGATTTTTCGGACTGGCCTCCTCGCTTCTCTCGTTCGAATGTCCGGCAGCAGCGGACGACGAGCCCTCGCTGCGTTACCTCGCGCGCCAGAAGCCTCGCGACCGTTGCATCGTTACGCGCTTACTTTGATTTATGTAGAGCGCATTCATTGACGCGCGGGGAAAAAAAAGGTTTATTATGCGATCGGCATTCTGCGAGCCGCACAAATTTACAAATACAATAACCGACAAAATACTGAATGACTGCAGCAAAGTTGCAATGTGCGCATACAGACGCTATTGTAACGATTTGTCTATAGCGATGGTACGTTCATAAATTTTCATCGGTGCCTGATTTCTCTTATAACGCGCCCGCGAGTAGGAGCACGGGCCGTAGATAAAACACGAAATACACATTGGCCGTCCCCACCGCCAGTCCGGTCTATACGCGCGCACGTCGCGTGTCCGATTGAAAATGACAGACTTTTCGTTTCCCGAAAAGAGGGAGACTGCGTGTATACGTCCGCGTGTTTACTTGGACTGCCTGACATATAACGAAACCTTTTGCACACAAAGGGATGCATATACGTCAGCGCGGGCATCGCGTTGCGAGCGACACACGCACACGCGCGTACGCGTAGATGTACTCGTATATTACGTGCGATATGCAGGCGAGAATTCGAATATATATTCAGGCTGCTTATCTCGTATACGGTGCTCGCTTTCAGCGCACGTCGGCGAAACAAGTGAGCCGGCTGTCCAAATGCATCAATGCTCTCCTCTCCCTCCAGCTTTGATCGTTTTATACATTTGACATCTACGAACTTTGCTCTTATTTGGAGAGAACTGCAGACGTGTAATCGAGTGCGATACACGCGGTGCCTGTCATGCGCGTTGCTCTCGCTTCCTGCGACATTCTTCCACCGGCAGTCCGAAAATCGCACGACTCCCGATCTCGCGCATCTTGCTGTGCCTCGTGACTGGCTACCAGATCGGCGTCGATGTGCTTTTATCACCTGGCTCGGCTTGCCTTCGCCGCACCATATTCGGAGAATGACTGACAGCTGGTCCAGCTGACGGATTCGATATGCCTTTTAAACCGCCCCTCACTGCTCGCAGGGGCCAACTTGGCACACGCTGTTGAGCAATTTTAGAAAATATCTTTCAATGCCTATCCGCGAAAATAACGCGGAGACTGATATTTGAATACAATGGAGCGTAGAGTACGTTGAGGCCTAGAGCTACGAGCTAGAAAGCCGCGTGATTCACTTGTCAACGTCGAAAGGCCAAATTACGAGGACGAGGTCGATCCCCGTGGCGAGCAAAAGCTGCGGGAGGATAAATCGACGAAGCAGCTGGTTGACGTTGGGCCGGCCGAGCGGGTGCGAAATTTCATCGAGAGCTGTCGGCCGAAATGTTATTGACGCGGGGCCGCGCGCAGCAGCAAGGAAGCTGAGGAGCGCGCCACCTGTTGAACACCAGGCAGCGAATGCCTTACGTAAAGCTGCAAGATATCCCTCAAATGTGCCGTGGGGCCGACTGAGATTAGCATAAATTGAGCGCGCGGGACGGACAATAAAGCCTGCTATCGCGCGCGCCTCATCCGACCGAGAAAAGTCCAATCCATCTTCCAGTCGCTCCTCGACATTCCGATTCGTTAACTTTCGTTTTGTCCGACATTGTCCTTTACTTTTTAATTCGCGTCGGCCGACGAGGCGTCTTCGCAGAAAGTCTGTCGATGCGCGAAGCACCGCGCTTGCCGCTCCGTCCAGTCCAATACGACGAACATCTCGATTGATTTGCTCGACAGCGCTAAAAATAGTCGCTAAAGTCGGCGCAAGCCTTCCCTTCCGATTCGCTGGCGATAGCCAGCTCCAGAAGCTGTTTCGGAGCTGGCTCGCGGCTGGAGACACGCGCACGCGGACACGCCCGGAACACGACGCTCGAGCGCTTTCGTCAAAGCCAGCTCCCATGAATCTGCCGCGCGGAGGCTAATTTCCAATGCGACAGGAGGGGACACGGCTGTGAGAATCGTATCAATCACCCCGCGGGGCTTTCCGACGCGAGCGTGCATGCACAGGGGTTCGGCTCGTGAGGACAGCCCACCGGGCTTCCGATCATCTAGCCTATTTTCGGCCTACACGGATTTCGCAGTAATATATGCGACCTAGGGAAAATGACTGTCGTACACACTGCTCGCACGTTTTTACTCTCTCTCTCTCTCCTTACTCTTTGATGAATGCGACACTCTTCCGCGCGGATTTCGGGAAACTATGCTACGGGCGGTCGGAGGTATCCGTGTTATTGACACCAGAGGAAACTGGAGGCGTTGATTTTTCTTTTTCGAGGAAAGAGAAAGTGCACATTTGCACACCGCGCTCAAGTGGTCTTTTCGTTATGTGTACGATTTTAGCTATTGGAATACGTAATTCACCGTTCGTTATGTATAATAATTAAATAGATAACTGTCTAAGCAAAATCGAATTTATAATCTGCAATTTACGTAACGAGCGCTTACAGATATTTTGATTGCTAAAAGCATTCAATTATTTTCACTACAATTTCTCTTATTTCGTTCAAGTGATTTAACATTTATCAGGTTGCGCAGTATTGTTCGTAATTTAAAACTCAAATCAATTGGCTTCGATCTTTGCAAATATTTTATATAAATCTTATGATTAAAACCAACTCACGAAGCGAAGGAATTACTAAAGTTGTTGAATAATTTGTCATAACCTTCTTATTTAAAGGAGTACCAATGATCTATTGCTTTTGTAAATATGCTCGTGAAAATGTAGCAATAGATTATTCATGACATATGCATATTTAGATATAAATATTTAATAAAACTCTTGAATGAAGGCTTATTAGAAAAATATCGTTGACGTGGACTTCAATTCATTATAATTTGTAAAAAATGTTTAACGTTTAAAATCCAAATAACGTAGTAAGAGTAATTTTCGCGAGAGGTCAGCACCTCCTTATGCATCATTATTACGTGGAGCCATCTACTTGTATCCTAAGGAACGTTTTTCTCAAAGTAGTTACATTGCTAAAATATACACATTTATTACCTTTAAAATAAAATTACCAATTAAAAAGTTTCACGTAATTTTATATTAAATTAAAGTTATTTTGCTATGACTTTTATTGATCATTGCAGTAGTTTGAAATTTCAAAGTAACTGCTATAATCAACTGATTCTTCAGGTTCCTTATCTTAATCATAGGTGTCTCTACTGGTAACAAATCGATTTTTTATTTGTTCTCTCGTGAATCTCTAAAGATTTATGAAAAACTTTATATTTATTGTTATACCGCTAAACCTTTGCCAAACAAATACCGATTCTGACTAGAACTAAAAATTGCTAATGTATTAACAGTAAATATTAAAGTTTGTTTAGACCGGAGAGGCGAAACTCGGAAGTCGATTACAAGATCGTCAAAACAATTGACAATTCCGCGCCTCTTACGGCGTTCACTCGAATTATGATCAGCTGACCTTGTTTTCTCAAACCTCAGCGTCAGTCAGATACGTATTTATAAATAACAGTTTTATCCTGCACGGTGTGTGTGGCGTCGTTTTTTGTATTTTATTGTTTAAAGAATAAGCGCAAATGATCATGAATATGAAAGTTAATGTGAATTTTGCGTGCCAGCGTTGTTTACAACCGCTCAGGCTAGATCCTAGCTTCGATCACTTAGGAGAGCACACTATAGCTGAGTTATCATGTAGGTTATCTTTTATTTTCCAATCAAAACATTGAGCTGTCATGATGTTATTCAAACTTTTGTTGCATTTTAACGTCATTATTACACTTGTTTCTTATTTTCTTGAACGTTTTTGAAGCTTTCGAGATGTCTCCAAACGTTTTTATCAATTTAAGATTTCAAATACCTTTTGCATGAATTTATTGACAATAATTAATACAATATAGCCAACTTCTCAATAATCGAATTCGTAATTTGACTTGTTTTATTGATTACAAGCAATATATTCTGACATTATTGCATGTAAAATATGATAATCAATTAATAACAGTATTAAATATCTAGAAAATCATTATTCAATTGATAATTTTTAAGTTTTTTCTGTGTTAATACTTACAAACTTTTTTAGTACCAATCCAGAGTCAAAGTGATGGAGAAGTAGAAACACAAAGTGATAGCTTAGAGCACTTGGTACCTCCATTTCGTCTTACAGATTCAGTAAATGGAACAAATGATTTTACATTGGTTGGTGATTCTGGTGAAACAGAAAGTCTAAGTCATCATTTAAAGGTTATTTTATTTTACAAATATCTATGCATATATAGCCAGACACATTTCATGTTTTCAAATCTTATGAATTATTGCAGGTAAGAGCCACACTATTTGAGTTATTGAGCAGAACCAGTGGAGCAGATCATCCATTATGTGATGAATGTACAGACAGTCTTTTAATGCTAGTAGATCAGCAACTTAGTCTCTCAGAAACTGAATGGAATGATTATAGTGAATACCTTAAACATTTAGAAGATGAAGAGATGCAGCAAGGTAACCAGGTTGATGAAATTGGAACTTTGGAAAAAGAGTTACAAGATGTCAGAGCAGAAGAGGCAAGAATGATATTAGAATTAGAAGCTTTAAGAAAAGAAGAAACTGCTACAAAAGTAGCTATTGCTGAGGAAGAAAAAGAAAAAGAAAGATTGCAATGTGAAGAGGAAAGGTATTGGAGGGAGTATTCACGACATAGAAGGGACCTAATGTTAGCAGAAGATGAATGTAGAAGGTAATAATTGAATATTTAATTATATTGTAGTACAAAGACAGATCATTATTTTTGTTTATACTATGTGCATTAATACAGTGATGATACAAACATGTTATTTTTTAAATTTTAGTTTAGAATGTCAGCTAGCCTATGCAGCATCACAACTTGAAAGACTGAAAAAAACAAATGTCTTTAATGCTACTTTCCACATTTGGCATTCTGGTCACTTTGGTACTATAAATTCTTTTAGATTAGGCAGGCTACCAAGTGCTCCTGTTGACTGGAGTGAAATTAATGCAGCATGGGGGCAAACTGCTTTATTGTTGACTGCATTAGCAAGAAAAATGGATTTGACATTTCAACGATATAAATTAGTGCCATTTGGTAATCATAGTTATATTGAAGTACTCAACCAAAACAAAGAACTGCCATTATATGGCAGTGGTGGCTTTAAGTTTTTGTGGGATACAAAATTTGATGCAGCAATGGTTGCTTTCCTTGATTGTTTGCAGCAGTTCAAAGAAGAAGTTGAAAAAGGTGATAGTGGATTTTGCCTTCCATACAGAGTGGATAGAGGCAAAATTGAAGACACAGGCACAGGAAATTCATATTCAATAAAGTAAGCTTCAAAATGTTTCTTCATGTATATAAATTTATTTTTTCTTTTTAAATAGAATTAATGGATTATATCTACGTATTTTTCAGGATTCAGTTCAATTCTGAAGAGCAATGGACAAAGGCCTTAAAATTTTTGCTCACTAACTTGAAGTGGGGCCTTGCATGGGTCAGCTCTCAATTTACTAATAAAGATGAGGCTGAACATTGAATCAAATTGATCTCAAGTCTGCTACCACAAATGTGTTATCACAAATCTGCCAAGAAGGCTGTTCAATGTACATATACTCTATTTGTAAATAAATTCGATCTAATGTTGAATAGTTTACGAATTAATATTTAGTTGAACTGTTTAATAAGTACACGTGTGCTTAAAAAGTGTTACTTGAGCAATAGGAATTTGTTCTTATTTCGAATTTAGTTCATAAAATTTCATTTGTCATTTTTGTCATTTTCCTACTTTATAATTTAAAAAATTTACTCAATAAATGATGTTTTTTATTTGATCAATAATGTGAAGTGTGATTTCAATTTCCAAGATATATGTAAGATTCCAATTTTCAATAAACATACAATTTTAATTTATCTCGAAAGGAATGAAGATGGATTTATTTATTAATCTTATGTATCAATTGAGTTACCTTATTTTAATGTTTAATTTTAATTGCACAACATTTCTTTAATTTTATCACCTATGAACAAAAATATAAAAAATATACCACTTTTGATTGTTAAAATATACCGTACATTATATTATACAATAATATAGCTAAATACATTCTTACTAATCTTATTGTGGAAGCCAATTGATCAGAGATTGATAATTTGTTCTCTTCATGTTTTAAATAAATAAGTTTTTATATGGAATAAAATACCCAATACTGAATAAAATTAAGCAGGATGCTTCATTACAACTAAAAATTCGCAAGTAACTATTTCAGGACAATATCTTAAATTACTTAAAAATTAATAATTACTTTAATTTGAAATTTATTGGTACAAATATGCTACTTTAACGTATTAATAGTAGCTGCTCAATTCACATGAAGCAATTTTAATTTAAATTAACATTGTGTAAATTTAATAGATTATTTCAATGTCATTAAAATTGCTTATTCCTGACTTTCATTCATAACGGTCTTTCTTGTTTGCTAGAAACCAAGCAATACCATTTAAAAAACATGGGGGACTTTGCACTTCTTCAGAATTCACATATTCTTTTACTTCATCAATACTCATTTCCACTATTTCAATAAGTTCACCCTCTTCTTCTGCTCCTCCTCCTGATAGAATTAAAACATAATAAGTAAAATTTATAGATTTAACACTGTACTTGATTAATTAATATAAATTAAATATAGTTGAATAACATTACCTGGATGTGTATTCATTTCATCCGTAACTTCTACATAAAACAATGTTTGTTTTGTTGCTGAAGATGAAATAAATCTAAAAATGATTGTAAATATTAACATTCAATTCAACTAAGCATCATAAATGTTCAAGGTAATTAAAACTTTAGTACATTCAATTAATTCTTATATGTGATAAAACTCAGCAATGATTTAGCACTTACCTATATGTTATGATTTTCTGGAAAGATAATATTGGTGCTTTATATCCACATTCTTCCAGAAGCTCATTTTGAGCTATTTCTACTAATGGTTTATCTTTGTCAACAATACCAGCACATAGTTCAATTGTAAGACCAAGTGTGGGAGGATATTTTTTAAGATCAATCACCTCCTGTTTCTCTGATATACAGCTATAGTATGAAGCAGGTCGAAATTGTCTAACAAATATCAGTTTTTTCCTACTGATATTGAACACAATTATGCTTACACTTTCATGTGCTTTCATAAGATCCCATGTTTTTGCTTTTCCATCCTGAATATAGTTCAGTCGCACTGGCTTAAGCCACGGTGAGTCATGAGGAAAAAGACCAATACGAATTTCTGTTAGATTGAGCATACGTTCGCGAATTTTTTTATTTTTCTCTTCGAGCGAAGGATTTGACATTTTGTATAAGGATTAAATTCAGCTACAACTAGAATAAATAACTCAAAATTAATAAAATTCCAATTTTATCTTGAGATTGAGTATCAAACTATTATAAACGTTAACGTCAACTCTTCTTCAACTTATGCTTTATTTTCAAGGTTAGGTATAATTTAATGGGATATACAGGGTTAGTATATAATTGGAGCAAAATTCAAGTTCAAAATTCACGGATGAAATTCTTTGATTATTGATTAATGGCTAAAACGAAGCATTTATAATGTGATATGTTTACGTAATTAAGTCGAAATAAATTCATTTTCATTTAATTATCTTTGTTAATAATGTAAAATAATCCCGTGAAACTCTGCATATGTCAGAGTAATAAAAATGAACTTATGTACTTTTAAATAAGTACTAGAGTACAGAACAACTGTTTTATTAATACATTATTTATAAAACTTTGAATGATTTGTATGTATTAGTATTAATTTTATTAAAACATTATAATTTTTAAAAGTTAATTTGAAAAACTTTTTTTATTTTGCTTTATCCTTTTTTGGTTTTTCCTTTTTTTTAGAGCCATTAGATATTTTGCATGCATCAAGAATATCTTGCTGTTTGACCTGTGTTTCGACATGAATGACATTTGGTTTTTTCTTTTGACGATTAACAGCAGCTGGAGGTGAGAATTCTATTTCCATATCTGAAGCTGTGGAACTGGATGCTAGAGAGGTCTTACTTTTAACAATTTTGAATTGAAGGGGATTAATGGGTTCATCCAATCTAGGTTCATCAGAACCTTCTTGCCTAATAGGATACATGGTAACATAATAAATTCCATCTTTTCTGTGAATATGGAGAGTTGGTGGATATTCAATTTCAGGTTCCTCTTCATCTTCTCGAATCATTCCTTTCTTTGACGTAAAGCTCATAGTCTTTTGTAGCTTGCCTTTTTTACTTCTGGTAGGAGCTGACCTTGGCCTCAGAGCTTCTTTGAAAAAACCGGCTTTGGCTTCATTCAGAAGGTCTCGAAGCTGTATACTTATTGCACCAGGTCTCCATCCTGGACGTGGCTTTCTCCTTGTAATTGTATCAGTTTTATTCCACATCCAACCCATATGTGCAGGTACCCTAGGTCTTTGAGAACCACAAGTTTTGTGTCCATAAATAGAAGCTGGATAAGCATTACCAAAGTTATAGAGAAACTGATTGGCTTTAGCACTCTTGGAAGATTTGGCAGTTTTAGGCCTATCACCAGAGGGACTTAATTTGCCTTTTGATGAACCTTTTTTATCTCCTTTTTGAATAGATTTTTCATTTTTTTCATGACACTCCCCACTCATCTCTACAGTTTTATCTTTCCTAGGTCTGGACTTACATTTTGGCTCACCACAAGGAGTATCTTCAATATTTTGCAAAGAATTTGCAGTGTTTTCTGAGTCTTTGACCTTTTCTATTTTTTCATCTTTCTTTTTCGGTTTTGACGGTGGAAGAGTTGATAAATCAGGAAGGGCAGCTGTGCCTTCCTGAACTAATCCAGGCTTTTTGGTTGTCACAGGTGGAAAAGTAGTTGGTGTTGCAACAGCAATTGGTTTTTTCACGTTTTCCAAATTTTGAATTTCAGGTTGTTTAGCAGCAGGTGCTAGTTTGGATTCTGCTTTTGCAAATTCTTTTACATCTTGTGGTTTAGAAAAATAAGGACTCTCAGTTATCCCTAGACCAGCTAAACCAGGAACTTTGCCGATATTATCAACAAAATCTTGAGCATCCTTGAAAGCTTTTATCAGACAGTCTGTACCCAAGCAAGGTTTTTTAGTGCACATCGCATAGCCTTTTTTCTTAAGCATTGCTTCCATATTACCTTTAGCAGGACAAGAACAAACTGGATTATTAATTGACTGTTCAACATGTCTGATGTTACATTTGTTTGATGCCAAATAAATTGGATTGGTACTCTCCCAATGAAAAGCTGCGTTGCTGGGAGGGCAATTGTTTAGTTGCATCCTCTGAAAAACGTTGAAGTTAAGTTATTCGGTGAAAGTGAAGAAGAAGATGAAAAAAAAAATGCGCGGTCTGACCATTCTCGCCTATTACTACTGAGAGGCGCATAGTTCAATCGTCAGGGCAATCGTAATAAGGCAACATTTTGAACTTTATAAATCAATAGCTGTCCTTACGTTAATTGAGGAATAGACATGTGAAAGGTTCAAGCAGTAAATCATAGATCCTGCATCGAAAGCTACGTTAAGTGGATTCGAAACGAGAAAGAGCAAGCGGGAGAGAGGAAAAAAGCGCAAGACTAACCGCAGCTTTCCCACAGCCAGCAGCCTGATAGGAAGCCTCGGCGCCACCTCCGCCGCCCTCAAGGCGATGTTGCTGTGCGCGGTTGGGCATCATGAATCTACGGTTGTACCAGGTGAAGTCGGCGTTACTGCTGAGAAGGCTCGCTGGTTCGAGCTCGCTACTTCCACCGCCCCTCAGCCTCCTGTCATTTTTCGTGACGTTCGCTGCCACTAGTGCACGATGGGTGGGCATTATGTGCTGCGGCTGCTTCTTCCTCCTCTTTAAACCCTTGGCCTCGTTCGCGCACTCGGGGTCGCTTGGCTTCTTTCTATTCGTGAGCGAACGATTCATTGCCGCCGATTCATGTTGGGCTTGCGATCAAGGCCTCATACCTGACACGAGCTTGCTCCTTTTTTCTCCTTCTTCAGGGATCACGCTTGTCTCTTGTGCTGTTCTTTACTCGGAAATTTGGACTATGTCGGGATGTCGGCGAGGACTTTGGCGAGCTTCACTAGTGCATTTTGAGTTGAATGTCCGCGAGACGTTGAAATTTGAGAGGTCAAACAGCTGTACTCGACAGATTTACTATTGTGAACGCTGATAGTTTTTGCAAGTGCGTTGTCATGGTAACCGATTTTAGAACGTGAGAAACGTTGAAACGAGAGCTGATTCGCAATGAATAAAAAACGAATAAAAATGAAGATATGTATGGCTAGCCAGGCAATGTTTATTGAGCATAAGGGGCGCAACATTATTATCGTCTCGGACGAACAAAAAATTTATTATGGATCTTTAGCTTGATTGATTTATGCGCTCTTCTCCGACATCTCAGTCACTCGCAGCGTACCATTGTACTCGTTATTGAAAGTGCAGCCGTCCTCGTTCAACTGATAGTCCGAGATGATGTACGGCCCGAAAAATGTCAGCCTCACATGAATTTTAATGGTCCCTGCGGAAAACAATACAGAGAAAAATGAGTCTCGTACGAATTCATGCTTACGTAATGAGACGTTGCTCGACCGCCTGACGATTGGAAAAACTGAAAATCATGCCTACCCGCAGGATTTCGTCCGGGATCGCACAGATCGTAGCATCCAGCGAGCTCATAAGGAGGCGCTCGATGCTGCTCGTCATTAGTCGACATGGCAACTTGATCACAGAGACAGCCCGACAGTGGCAGCGAGGTCTCGGCGATCGGGAATGTCTCCTCGCCTCGGAAGACACCGAGCTTGATCGGCTGCTGCTTCATCGCTGCCACGAGATCGCGCGGCTTGCGCACGAATAGACACGACTTGCCACACGCGTAGACGATGCCTTCCAGTTCGTCATAGCTGGCTGTCGATTCGGGCCGCTGCTGTTGTTCGTTGACGTCTTCGGCACTGGGATCCACACGACGGCTTACCACGAAGACTGGGAAGTCGATGAACTTGAACTTGATCAGAGGCGGACAATCGGCGAAATCCTCGCGGTACTTGCTCGCCGAGAGCCTGAGACGCTCGACGGTCAGCTCGATGAGGTAGATTTGCGCGTCTTGGCCGCCGAAGCACGACATCTCATCACGATCTGCGGAGCGTGCGTCTATTGTTACATTGTTATCTGGCTGCTGCTTGCCTCGCTTCCTTCAAGCCTTCAATCTTTCATTAAGTCTTATATGCTATTTTGATTAGCTTTGTTCCGTCCGATCGTGAATGTGCCCACTGTAACCGGGTTGCGCGCTGTACAATGTGGCGCCGCGCTCACCTTAAATTATTCCGCAGACTAGATGACCCAACGATGCTGTTTGCGCCTCTCTACGCCGGCAATTAAACTTTATCTTCAGATCGGTCGTGCAAACATTAAATTCACAATTGAACGAGTTTAAGCATGGCGACTGCGCGTTGATTCTTACTTTGGGACTGTTGCCACGCATGTAACGCCGTCAATTTTTCGAATACTTGTGCAATTTGATTCACCAATTAAGAATTTCAATTAGCAACGGCACGATGACGAATGGCGCGACAGTGAGGTTACGATTCCAAAAACATGCGTCAACCATTTGGGGTTGGCGACGAGTCGAACGAGGCTGACGTCAGTCGAGCATTAAACGACAAGGCCACATCCTGCGGTCAAGTTCAGTATTAGCGAGAAATTTCGGAATTCGTTTATCGAGCACACGCACGCACACCTCGGCTTTCTCTCTCTCTCTCTCTCTCTCTCTCTCTCCCACGCCGCGAGGACGCTCGCTGAACCGCAGCGGCAAATAAATACGACAAAGGCCTTTCCGGCGCGTACGTCTGTCTAGCCTGTGCTTGCGGTGGAATGCCACCTAGAAAGCGTATATATAGAAGTGAAACGAGCGAGGAGAGCTGTAAGTAACGCGAGAAATATTCGAATGGGCCGTTCTCGCGCGCGAGGGAGAGAGACGAAATAATGGCTTGCGTTAGATGAAGATAAGGCTGTAACTCTTTCAGGTAAAGATGTGTCATGTCCTGCCGCGAGCGAGAGATTGGAATAGAAGCGTCGTCCGTTGTCCGAGACGATCGATCACGAGCGAGCGAGAGAGAAATCCAGCGCAACCCCGTATATACTCACTCTCCTGACGATCACGCGGTCATTCAGATTCTATCGGCGCAGGCAGTATGCGGTCGTTCGTCGCCTCGTTGCGCCTATTGGTATAGGTGCACCGCGCGAGGTGCCTCATTTTCTTTAACCTCCTGACTCCTTTCGTTTGCTTATCTGTTAATTGCCACCTTTGCGGCATATTTCTCTGCTGTACCGTGTGTGTCTGTGTGAGCGTCGCTCCATGCGATCCAGCGGCCGGATATATCATTGAGATTCGCATCGCGATGCGTTTGGCCAAAAACTGTACAGAAGTTTCTCGCTGTCGACGGTATATTCGAAAGCGCGCGCGTCAATTTGCAGACGTATCGCTCACACTCGGGCGAACGCTTATGCAAAAGAGGCGTCCCGAGCGCGGAAGGCCACCGTGCTCGACCGAAATTTCTCGGAAGCGTTATGGGCCCGTGGGCCAATAACCGTTAAAAAAAGCGAGACCCCACGAGGCGGCCGCGCGCGAGAGAGCCCACCGAGGCGCGAGCCCTTGCCTCCGCGTTGCGGACAATCCGAAGCTATGCGCGGTTTTCCGCGCGTTCCTATGCGCCGCGGCAGAGCAGTTTCCCTCTCTGGTCGGCCGCGAAACCGTATCGATCTCTCTGTACCGTTACGAATAAGTCGCGCGCGCACGCGAACATCGGCTTCTCTCTTCCTCGCGCTCGAGTCGAGCGCACAACAGGGTGTTAATTTCGGTATCGCGCACACTAAACGGCTCGCCCTGGATACGAGCCGCCGCGTCGAGTTTGCAATTTAACACCGAAAAAAAAGGCGACGGCCATTACTTTTATTGCCCTCCGCAGCGCTGCGATACTCGATAATACTGAGAAATATCCTCGGAAATTGAAAATTTCCTGTTATAATGGTGCGTTGCTCGTAAAAGTTTAATCAACGTCCGCGGCAGCAGCAGCGCCAGCTTGTTAACAGTTTTATTAATCAAGTCTTCCTTCTTCATCGGCACGTTTAGCCGGCGCTCGCACGTCGCTGCATCAATCACGCCGCGAGCAGTTTGTTATCGGCTGTCCCCGACTGGACGTTCACGCCTGCTTTATCGTTCGAAGCTCAGCTCTTGGGCGATGCTATCGGTTCCGCTGACAATGTATCCCCCGTTGTTATTCGTGAGTGTTTATTTGACCATGTCGCCGCGTGACACCTCGGCGTGGCGGCCCGCCGCATCATCAAAACTAACAATATTTGTCGGAGTTGGTACAAGTCGTCGCCGGTCGATTCGCTCGCGGGTGGCTCTGGTTTCGGCGATCTCTTTTCTCCCAACACCGTGCGCCTCAAGTATGCACTAATTGGTGCGGGCGCGCACGCATAGCATACTCGACAGAGACACAGGTATGCTCGAAATGGACGGTCCGAAATGGAGAGGACAGAGAAAGATAGCCAAGCCGGCGAATCGAAGATGAGAGTCAAGCACACACACACACACACACAAATCGAGAAGAAAGCAGCAGCGGAGGGGCAAGTCAGTGGTAGCAGATAAGCCGCGCGGCCAAAGTAAAATTCCGAGGCAAGCTCTCGACACGGCGGCTCGTTAAAATGCTTGTGGGCCTTTCGGACGCGAGGACTCCGCGGTTAATTGGTGATTAGCGATTAAAACGAAACGATCGCTCTCTCTCTCTCTCTCTCTCCCCCTGGACCTGCCTGCCCCCGAACCACGGCCCTACAGCTCACGCCAAGGACAAAGAGCGAGCGAGTAATGCGCGCATTATCGCGACCGAGCACTCCTAGAAATGCGAGCTCCCAAAAATTCGGAACGCCCTCTCTGGTACTCTCGACAACTGACGTTCGCCCGTAATGATTTACAAGCATCGCTCCGCTGGCACGCATCTCGCGAGAAGCTCATTTATTCTTGCTACATCTACCGAAAACGCACTATTAATTAACACGAGGGACGTTAATAGGACCTCTTATCAATCGGAGGCAGACGACCTGAGTTCGTTGGGTCTTTACTCGCGGCATTGCGGCAGCTCGATTTTTTATGCTAATTTATGTGGGTGCCCTTTCTAGAAATACCGATGCTCTTTACAACTATTCTTTTTTCCCCCCAGGATTAATTTTCGACATTGATGAGTGATTGACAGGATGGGTCGCCTTTGATAAGGTACATCGTGCTTCTTGTACTCTTGTAATTTCGCCAAATGAATCACTTCTTATACGGGATTCCCGTCAGCTAAACGTATCGATGTTATTCTTTGCACGTGTAATCGCTTTCAACCACAACAGTTTCTCTCGTTCAATTTAAAATCTAGACAATTTTTGATTTAAAAACCTAATCTCGATCATTTTTTCATTCGGGTAATTAGTACATTGTACAACGTAGGAGAACAGTGAACCATTTCTCACGGTTATGTTACCACTTGAGGTGAAACTGGAAAAATCAAGAGAAATTATTCATAGGCTGTAATTATTTTTAAAAATCAACCCACTACAGATTCTTTCGAGCAACATTTTTATTTCATAATTTCGTCATCAACGTTATGAGAATCTAATTCATTCCATTCTTCACGGGCTACGATTTAATATACAATGTAAATTTTCGAAATAATAGCAAAAGAAACACCAACAACAATAACAACGAATACCTTGAACAAATGAATCAAATTCAACAAGTTACAGCATCACCTCGACAATAATAGTTACAATAACAATCTTCAGTTCACCATAGAAAAGGAAAAGGATAAATCTATTAATTTTTTGGAAGTTAGTCTCATTCGCGAGTACAATAAAATCATTACAAATTGGTACCAAAAGACAAATTACTTAAGGCGCTAGATTAATTTTAAATCATATCATCCTTTCAGAAAAGAGAAATAGTTTATGGTCTTGTTGACCGTGCTTGTACATATTACTTGTAAAACGGTTATTATGTGAGAATGACTATTCACCTAAATTTATTAATGATACAATACGTAATAGAATATTCCGCATTATGAATAGCAAAAACTCTAAATCTGTTAATGACAATGTTTCATTGGTCGCAATAATTGTCTAGCCTTATATATAAACTATACAAACTAAAATCAATACTGGTACGTAATAATTATAGAATAATTAATAAACCAATTAACATATTGAATTATATTATTAAGCTAGGTAAAGATGTTACTAATAAGATAGAGAAAAGTGGGTTGTTTACAAAATATGATGCAATGCAAATCGTTGATAACGAACCAAGTTTACCAAAAAGATTTTTTAGAATAGACAGTTGGACGCTATTAAATTGGAAAACGCTTATAGGGAATCGATTGACATATGTAAAGCAAATATACGTAAGACTAAGCCTCCGAGACGGTATGAATTGCGATCTCAATATTTAAGCACGACTTAATCGGATATACGACACTTAATACCTTTCTGATGCTGATATGAATATCGTAGTGAGACACAGCAAGTCATTAGTTTGATTTATGACTCGAAGTATAGATAAACGGCGATGACACTGTCTCAGGATCATCCATTGACGTGTGTCCGTTCCAAACTGTTTGTGCGTTTAACTGTCGGAGTGATGCTGTAACTTGTCAAATTTGTTTCATTTGTTCACGATGTTCGTTGTTATTATTGTTTGCATTCCTTTTTATATTATCTCGACAATTTACATTGTATATTAAATCGTAGCTCGGGAAGAGGGGAATGAATTAGATTTCCGAAACGTTGGTGATAAAATTATGAAATAAAATGGTATTTCGAAAGGATCTCTAGTGGATTGTTATTTAAAAATAATTACAACCTACAAATAATTTCTCTTGATTGAAATTGATGTGAGCATCTCGGAAAAGCGAGAAATCTTTATCTAAGCCGGAAAAAACAATTTTTATAAATATAAATTTGGCAATGAAAGAATTCTTCAATTAGCAAAAGTAGTGGTCATATTAGCATTATTTCTTTGGTCACTATTTGAATAATTTTAGGATTTCATTCAGAATTTAAAACTCTGTGACACCTCCAATTTTAACGAGG